TAGATAGATATTAAAGCGATTCCTTTTTTGCCTCCCCTGGGATTGAAATGGAGTTCTAGGATTTTATCTAGCACAGCATGAATTGTAGTGGCTGGCTGGGCACTAAGCTTGTTAGGCCTTTTACTGAATTCATTGTCTACAAAGTTTTTAATTAAGTAAGTGTCCTTAGATTTGGGGGTATTTGTGAATCTCCTAAAATTGTGTGTACACCTCTGCTTACATGTACAGTTTTCTTCCTTAGCAAGCAAGGTATGCTTACAAGCGGGCTGTAGACACCTGAATTACACGTTTCGGTACAGTGTGGTGGTGGCATGTGTACCACAGAGGCGGTGGCACAGAGGGAGGTGAGGCATGGCAGAGAAGGGAGTGATGAACAGGGATCATTTCCTGGAGGAGGAAATGATGCCTAAACTCTACAGAACAGGAGTAACTCCAAGGGAGAACAGTTCCAGGTCAACAAGGTAAAATGAACAAAAGCAAGGAGGCAGGAATCTGCCCTTTATATGGGAGAATTGGGACTAGCTGAGCAGTACTAGTACATAAAAGTTGAGGTATGCCGATGAGAATAGAAGGGTAAGCAGACAAGTGACAGGAGGCTCAGGAGCTTCGACTTAACCACACAGGCCTCTAAATTTTATATCCCTGATCGTAAAGGAAAAAGGTACACCTATGCAACCAATATTCACAGATAAATATAGTTATAAAACATAGAACTCTCCACTCAAAAGTTTTGTGGAAATATATAAAAAGTGCTAAGACCACCCTCCCAGGCTTCCACACACCTCAATGGATTATCTTTTTCTTTCTTTTAGATTTGCATTTGTTAGAAACACTTTTATTACAAGTGTTTTTCTTCATTACATGCATTACAGAATGGGTATCATTTGCATGCACTGAAATAACACTGCTGAACACAGCTTCAGCTAGCTTTGTAGGAAGTATCTTTATTATGTCCTCTTAACATGCATTACAAAATGGGTGGGTATCACTTCCAGTCCCTAAAATGACACTGTGCTGAACACAGCTTGCACGTAGCTGTGTTAGAAACATCTTTATTATAAGGGTTTCTTTTTAATTGAACAAATTTGACATGTAACATTGTATAAATTTCAAGGTGTACAATGTGTTACCTTGATACATTTAAATATTGTAATATGATTGCCACTGTAGTGATATTTATCACATATAATTATAGTATAATATTGTCTATATTCATTATATTATACATTATCTCTATGGCTTATTTACTGCTTGTTGCAAGTTTGTACCCTTAACATCGATCTTATCCCTCTAAGCTCCATCTCCTGGTCACCACCATTTTACTGGTTTTTGAGTTTGACTATTTTAGATTCCACATATGAGATCATGCAGTCTTTTTCTCTGACTTACTTATATCAGTATGATGTGCTCAAGGTCCCTTCATGTTGTTGCAAATGGCAGGATATCTTCCTTTCTTGTGGCTGAATAATATTCTATTGTGTATATATACCACATCATTTGTATCCATTCATCTATTGATGGGCATTCAGGTTGTTTCCATATCTTGGCTATTGTGAATAATGCTGCAGTAAACCTGGGAATGCATATATTCTCTTTGAAATTCTATTTTCATTTCCTTTGGGTATTTACCTGGAAGTATGTTAGCTCAATTTTGAAATTTTTGATGAGCCTCCATATTGTTTTCCATGGTAGTTGGACCAGTTTACATTCCCACAACAGTGTACAGTTGACCCTTGAACAAAAGCATTTCTGCAGAGACTCAACCAACCTCAGATTTCACTGAAAAAAAATCTAAGTGGACCTGCACAGTTCTAACTTGTGTTAAGTGTCAAATGTATAAGGGTTCCCTTTTCACCACATCCTCACCAGCACCTGTTATGTCACTTCTTGGTGACAGCCATTCTAACAGGTATGAGGTGTCTTATTATGGTTTTTATTTGCATTTCCCTGAAGATTAGGCATGTTGAGCATTTTTTCATGTACCTGTTTGCCATTCTGATGTCCTCTTTGGAAAAATGTCCATTTAGTTATGCCCATTTTTTAGCTGGATTGGGTTTTTTTGTTGTTACTAAGTTGTATGTATTGTTTACATATATTTTGGACATTAAGCCCTTATTTAATATATGGTGTGCAAAAATTTTTCTCCCATTCAGGTTATCCTTTCATTTTTTGTCTCTTTTGCTGTGCAGAATTCTGAGTTTGATGTAGTCCCATTTGTTTTTTGCTTTTGTTTGTGCTTTTGGCGTTATGTCCAAAAAATCATTGCTAAGACCAATATTAAGGAGCTTCTCCCCTTCTAGAAGTTTTATGGTGTCAGGTCTTATGTTTCTTTGATCCATTTCAAGTTATTTTTTTTTAAATTATGATTTCTGTTAATATATTCAAAGCAGGACTTCGATTACATTATCAAAAATTGCCCCCTCATCTCCTCATTTACTATCCAATTAGCCTGTTTTATTCACAGCACTTATCACTATTCAAGTTAATTTTTGTGAATGGTGTTAGATAGGCATCCAATTTCATTGTTGTGCATGTGTTCTTCTCTGGTTTCCCAGCACCACTTTTTGAAGAGACTATCCTTTCCCCATTGGGTGTTCTTGGCTCCCTTGTCAAATATTAGGTGACCACTGGGATTTAATTCTGAGCTTTCTATTCTATTCCATTGGTCAATGTGTCTATTTTTGTGCCAGTACCATAATGTTTTTATTACCGTGGCCTTGTAATATAGTTTGAAATCTGAACGCATGATATCCACAGCTTAGTTCTTTTTTCTCAGGATTATTTTGGCTGTTCGGGGCTTTTTTGTGGTTCCACAAAAATTTTTGGATTCTTTCTTCTGTGTCTGTAAAAGAATGCCTTTGGCACTTTGATGGGAACTGCACTGAATCTGTAGATAGCTTTGGGTAGTAAGGACATCTAGTAAAGTCCTCCATTGGATTCTTCCAATCCATGAACATGGGATGTCTTTCCATTCGCGTCTTCTTTGATTTCTTTCAGCAGCCTTGTAGTTTTCATTGTACAGATCTTTCACTTCCTTGGTTAAACTTTTCCTCAGTAGTATATTGTTTTTGTGCTATTTTGAGTGGGATAGTTTTATCAATATTTTGTTTTCAGATGCTTCATCATTAGTGTAAAGGAATGCAACTGACTTATGTATGACGATTTTGTATCCTGGAACTTTACTGAAATTGTTGATTAGTCCCAACAGTGTTTTGGTTGACTCTGGGATTATCTATATATAAAACCAAATCATCACTAATAGAGACATTTTACTTCTTCCTTTCTGATTTGGATGCCTTTTTAAATTCTCTTGCCTAGTTGCTGTAGCTAGGAATTCCAATACTATAATGAATATGAGTGGTGAGAGTGGGCATCATTGTCTTGTTCCTGATCATAGAGGAAAAACTTTCAACTGTTCTCCATTAACAGCTGTGGGTTTATGGTACACAGCCTTTGTTATATTGAGGTATATTCTTTTTTTACCCAATCTGTTAAAGGTTTTTATTATGAAAGGATGTTGTATTTTGTCAGATCCTTTTTCTGCATTTATTGAAATGATCATATAATTTTTCTTTCATTTTATTGAAGCGATATATTATTACATTTATTGATTTGCATATGTTAAATCATCCTTGCATACAAGGGATCCATCCCACTTTGGTCATGGTATATAATCCTATTTGTGTGTCCTTGAATTTGGTTTGCTAATATTTGGTTGAGAGTTTTTGCGTCTATATTCAGCAGGGATATTGGTCTGTAGTTTTCTTGTATCCTCATTTGGTTCTGGTATCAATGTAATGCTGGCCTTGTAGATGACTTTGGAAGAGTTCCCTCCTCCTTAATACTTTGGAAGTGTTTGGAGGAAGATTGTGTTCATTCTTCTTTATATGTTTGGTAGAATTCACCACTGAAGCCATCTGGTACTGTAGTTTTCTGTGTTGGGATTTTTTTTAATTACTGTTTCAGTTCCTTTACTCATTACTGGTCTGTCATGGAGATCTCTCCTCAGAAATCTGGGGTGTCGCTGAAAAGCAATGGGACCCTCCAACTGCAGCCCACAAGCTGAGTAGACTTATACTTACCTTTTGCACTTTCCACCTCCTCTGCTGGACAGGTTGCTACTGCCGCCACAGCCAGTGTCACCACATCTCCCTTGGCTCCCTAGCCTCCTTTGAGGTTTCATTCACCCAATTTCTGATACACAGATGAATCTCTCTCAGATGTCCTGGTATGCTGTGCAGCGGCATTTGTGTCCAGTTATGGATGTCTGATTCGTTAGAAGTCAAAGGGAGAGAAAAGGAAGCACTGGTGCCACCGTGATGCTGATGTCTTCACTAAAGGATCATCTTAAAGGCACTCCACTTTGGAGACTCCTGCAAAAGGTAAAAGGAAACCCCTGGAAAGTTTTAAAAGGAGAAGTGACAGATTTGCACTTAAGATTGCTCTGAATGGAATTTAGATTCTGAATGGAATTAGATTGCTTTGAATGGAATTTCAAGTGAATATGAGGGTATTAAGACTAGAAGTTTTAAATTCTTGAACCTCTTCAGTCATCTACATTCTTTTATGTGGCATCAGACCAAGATGATAAAGGCTTAAGGGAGGGAAATGGTACAATGCACAGAGAGAATGGATTTATAAAATATTTGGAATAGAAAACTTAGCTTTAATACTGACTGGTCACTTAAATACTGTTATAAATTTTCTTATAACAAATTTCAATGATCAAATCATTTTGGTACCAATTTTGCTAATACTGGATGTACTAATAACGGAAATTACACTTACTCATTGCAAAACCAAGAGCAGGGCAAAAGGTTCAGACTAGTGAGTTAACAAGTGAAAAAACACTGATTTTGAGTATTTGATTTATCTGATCAAACTGAACATTTCCTTTAGAGCAGCTGCTATGAAACACCCATTTCCTCAAAAAATTCCAAATAACATTTCTGCAAAAGAAACTTAAGGCAAACAACTTACAACAAGGACAAAGTTTAAAAGTCAGTTGAAATTTTCTTTTAATTAAAGACCCAAGGGACAAGAAGCTCCTTTGTGTTACAGTACATAACATATGGCTCTTATACAGAGTAAAATAGACACCAGGGAGTCAAGTGTTTATACCAGCGCTGAATTCTTACTGTAGCAGCCAAAAAGTGAAGCAGGATTTCCTTTACTGGCATTGAGACTTAATACATTTTTACATGCAATAAATTCTTTGGTAGACTTAATCATTCAGTGGAATTACAGAATTTGCAAAGGAAAGTAATAGTCAAATATTTCATGTAAAATTTGAGCACAGTACTTCTCACCATATGCTATTTATACAGACTTCAGAAAAAATGTCAATCCTACTAAACTTTTACATACTGCCTCAAAATTTGCCAGTTAACTTCTCTGTGTTCAAAAAACAATGTAACTAAAACAAAGTAGGGCAGATAATGAGTTTTTAAAATATGTTTCATGATATTTCTAGTAATTGTGCAAATGGAAACTAATCTGAAGGATGTGGAATTCTTTGAAATCCTGGATGGCTACCACTTTCTCCTCTCCATCCTCCTCCCAAGCACATCTGTAAGGCATCATTTTGGAACAGCTATCTAATACATCTTAAATTAAGTACATAAATAATGACAGCAATAATTTTCAACTATTACTACACCATAATATCCTCAAGACTTTGCCTTATTATATGAAGAACACGAGTTTTGAATGGTGAAAGTAAATGACTTACTACAAAAAGGAAAAACCCATGATGGGCAAAGGAGCATCAAATGATCTTGATTATGACACTGAAGCCCAGTATGTATAATGCCATGAAATGTCAGTATTGGTTTGGTTTGAAAACTGATGCTCCTCCTGTGCAATGAGTGCTCTTCCATCAAGAAGTATATTTCTGAAGTAGTTTGTGTTTTGATCTTACCACACACCAAAATTTCTGAGACAGCATTTTCCTTTTAAAATCAGAAACTTGTCCCCACTGTGGATCCAGGACTGAAGCACTGTAATGTTCTTTGGGTGACTTATAAGATTAGTGTCATAATCATGTAATTACATGTGGGGTTATCTCACTTAAACCACCTGCACTGCTACAGTTCTAAACTCATCCTAGAGAGATGTAAAATAAATAAAGTGACTTAAGTTCTCTCACAGATGGGTTCTATATTCAGAAACTTCCTCCTCGTGAAGCTGCCACTGTAATCAGAGCTCATGGCGATGACCGACGGCCCCATCCAATAGCCCTCTCACACAACAGTCTGTACAGGAGTGACACACTGTGCAGGAGAACCGGCTCTCTCCGAGGATGAGGTTGATCGGTTGGAAATTTCTCTCTGTAGTTCCTCTACTTTCTTCTGAAGCTCTGCTCGTTTAGCAAGAAGTTCTTTATATCTGTTGTGAATGGGCTCCTACAAGAGCAGCACACCCTAAAATTATTTAACTAGGCAATCCTAAACAAACCCAAAGTCAAGTCATTCCAGTATAGAGCTCCTTCCCTCAATGCTGCAATGTGTGTGTTTTCAGCTATGGGGACCACACCCACCTTTCCAGAACATCAGTGAAAACTAACTTCAGGGACTCCTCTGACACCACTGCTCTTTTCACTGGCTTCCCTAGTGCCCCCCAAGTGTTTCCACAGAATACCCTGAAACTGGTACTTAGCCAAATACAACAAATAATTAAGTAACAGTGTAATCTAAAAGCCAGTACTCAAAGATTTCCTGTCATTTAGTTGCAGACTTTTTAGTCTTTTAAACAGTTCTAAGCAGTAAATATTCCATAACATTTTTAAAAAATCAACCAGAATTTTGTTAGGCTTTTAACTTTCCTAAAGCTATTTTCTCCAGCCTATTAAAACAAGACCTCTAGTCCAGCGCCCTCATTTTATAGAAGAGGGGAAAAAAGACAAAACAGAAGTGACTTGTCCAAGGCCAAACAAGCGAGTCATGATAAGAACCAAGTGCACTGACTGATTATCCCTATGTAGTGCTTTTTCTACTATGCAATTAAAACTGTTAACAGGAAAAAGTGAAAGCTTTAAATATGCACAGATAATTTTTCTAGCTGCTTTAAAGGGGACAAATGTAATTCATACAACTGCACGGATAAAAACTCTCATTGTATATTGCAGGGCATACCTGTGGCTTCATCCGTGGATTCCACCTTACGTAGTATCCCACCCAGAGCTCTAGGTGGCGCATGCTGGCTACTGGATAAAGGACATGATTGGAATAGCTCCCATAGAGAGGATTAGTGAAGTCCTCCAGCTGACTATTTATGTAAGACCACAATGACACAGTCCTTTTGGGAAGATTCTATAAGAAGGAAAAAGATTCTCCATTACATAAGCTAATTATACTTTAGATGGAATTTGTAAAGAGGTATATTGTGTTCATTTAAATTGTTTCAGAGGGAGAGAGAACTCAAGACACTGTGGTGACAGGCCCACTTAGATTAAAATTAGAGGGTATTGGAAAACTGTGCAGTTCTGCAAAAAGTTAAACAGAGTTACCATACCAGCAATTCCACTCTTAGTTATATACCCAAGAGAAGTGAAAACACATGCACACACAACCCAGTACACAAATGTTCAAAGTAACATCAGTCATAGTAGCCAAAAAGTAGAAACAACCCAAAAGACCATCAACTGATAAATGGATAAAATGTAGTATATCAATACAATGGATGATTCAGTCATAAAAAGGAATGAAGTACTGATACACGCTACAAATTGAACCCTGAAAACATTATGCTAAGTGAAAGAAGCCAAACACAAAGGCCACACCCTGACTGATTTCATTTATATGAAATGTCCAGAAGAGGCAAATTAAGAGACAGATTAGTGTTTGCCAGGGTCTGAGAGGAGAGAAGAATGGGAAGCAACTACTAATAGGTATGGGGTTTCTTTTCAGTGTTCTGAAATTAATGGTGGTGATGGCTATACAACTCGAGAGATGCTAAAACCCACTAAATTATACACTTTAAAAGAGTGAATTTTATGGAATGCAAATTATAGCTCAGTTTTAAAAACATTTCTTTTTTTAAAGATATAGTGAATCCTATCTGAGGCTCTCAAAAAATGAAAGTATCTTTGGAAGTTATCTATTAATTACCTAACATGCAAGAAATTCTTTTTTTGTACCAATAATTGTTTCTTTTATTGCTGAGTAGTACTACATCATATAGAAATACCACAGGTGAAGGGCATTTAGGTTGTTTTCAGTTTTCAGCCACTGTAAGTAAAGCTGGTATGAACATTTGTGGGAAGAAAATCAGAATTCTGTGGGAACAAAAGTTTCTATTTCTCTAGGATAAATACCCAGTAGTATGATTACCAGGTCATATGGTAAGTAAATGCATAGCTTTATATACAAATGTCAACTGTTTATGAGACATTCAATAAATTCTTGACTGCCTACTATGCACGGAAATATTTACTGCATGCTACATACTGAAGATGTAATGGTGAATTAAAAAATTTAATACCGGTCGTCAAGGAATTTCTAGTCTAGGAAGCACTTACTACATGGCAGTTATTATAGTGTTTTGTATGGCTTATTTTATGCAATCCTCACAACAGTAAGCAGTATTAAGTACTTAATAAGTACTATCATCCCTACTTTACAGAAGCCTAAATTAACTTGCCCAACTTCACACAGTAAGTCAAAGATCCAAGATTTGAACCCAGGCAGCCTGGCTCCAGAGCAAGCATTCTTTGCCACTAGGCTTTATAGAAAAACATGAAGAAACTATTTTATAGCCACATTTTTTAGAATGGAAACTGAAGCACAGGGAGACACTAATCAAGATAATTTAGAATTTCATACATAGGATAGATGTATTTTGAGGAAGACAACCTGAAATGTAATCCTTACAAGGTTTCTTCTAAATAATATCAACCACTTAAAAGTGGTAACTCTGGGCTAGTGGGGTAACAAATTTTAACTTCCTGCTTAATATCTTTTCAGTGTTCGAATGTTTTATGGTATTATTTTACAATTTTAAAAAAACCTAAAATGGCTCATACATATGCAGAATATATTTGGGGAAGTGAGCTGTCCATTCATTCAAATACATTTTTTTTGGCTAATTATATTTTTCTGCACCTGTTTTGATGGATTTCCATCCTGCAGGGAGTGACAGGTACATGGGCACTCCTAAGACTCCACATACTTCAGTTCTCTTTAGGAGACACTGCTTCCTACCCATAAACTCAACTGACAGCTGGCTAGCATATTCAGCCTGTGACAGAGGTGCTTTAAAATAGATCAGGTTCAGATGTATGGCAAGAAGCATATTACAGCATATAAAATAAAATATAGCTAAAGGAATCATCCAAAAGAACAACTGTTAAGTTGAAATCCATCAGAGGATGCACTCTAGTAGAGAAAGCACATATTAGGGATACAGGGGGGAGGGTCAGGGCTCATGTTTTACCTCTTTTCCTCTCTGCTGTTCACTGTTACAGAGGAATGTTCCAAACAAACAGCTATATAGGTGGTCCAAAATGGTAATGAGAAAATATTCATTGAATTCAAATGCTGTAGGAAACTGCAAAATCAAACACCACAAACACACAAAATTATTAAGACATTTTCTCAAGCATATTCATCCCTGTATACTGGCAGATCCTTTGTAATACTTCTTAAAATTAGGCTGAACAGTATTCAAGACTATATATTTCTAAGCCATTATGGCATTATCTGCTTGGTCTTCTGTTCAAAATTATTTTCTGAGATAATTTTTCCTAATATCTCCTTTTCTTGTACAGTAAGAGTTTGAATGGTCTGATCTTGATGTTTCTGCATCCGTTTATATCAGTTAACCCTCAACTTGAGCCTAATAAATTCTGACTTGTCTTTCTCTGCCAAAAATGACCATAAGCGACATAGTAAGATGTTTCTTTAAATTTTCAACATAGTTTTGTTTCTAGGAATTACACAAAAAAATATCGACGTCTCCAGAAAATGTCAGCAATGCACAAAAATAAATTCCAAGGCAGACATGCAGATCATTTAAAAGCCAACCTACTTATCTTTTCAAGGAACATGCACTCAAACCAGGATATCTTGTAATCCAGTACTCTGGCAGCCTCTTTCTAAAAAAAGAAAATTCACTGTCTCTTTAACCTAGGACAAGTGCTTGACTGGATGTCTTGCTATTACACAAACAACACAATTTTGGGGGAATGTACCAAGGACCAATTACAGATACCAGGAAGGAGGGTAAGGGATTTAGTATAATCCGTCCTATCCATCTAATGTTTCAAGAATTATCTGAAAGCTTCTATGTAGCACTGTACCATTTATAGGACTGTGAAAAGGAATTCCATGAATATTTGGATTGTGGATTTGGGAAATAAATATTGGTGCCAAATTTTTCTTAGAATGATCCCTACCCCATAGTGGAGGAAAACAGTATGAACTGCATGCAAAAGGGACAGGGGTGAAAACAACTTTGCCTTGAAGTTTCCTAAATTTATAAGCACGGTAACGTGGCAAATTTATCTTCTCAAACAATTTATCTTCTCGAACAATTCTTGAATAATAATTTTTGTGGCTGTGAAGCAAATGAAGCAGGTAATAAAGCACATGCCAACATAAAGCCAATCAATTGTAAGAAACTTTGTCAAATCTCATTCATTCATTTACAGAACAAATCCCATCTCCTGTACTGTTGGTTTTTTTTTTTTAATTTTTTACTTATTTATTTTTGGCTGCATTGGGTCTTCGTTGCTGCGTGCGGGCTTTCTCTAGTTGCAGCGAGCTGGGGCTACTCTTCATTGCAGTGCATGGGCTTCTCATTGCAGTGGCTTCTCTTATCGCGGAGCATGGGCTCTAGGCGCACAGGCTTCAGTAGTGGCACGCGGGCTCAGTAGTTGTAGCTCACAGGCTGTAGAGCACAGGCTCAGTAGTTGTGGCACACAGGCTTAGCCCACGGCATGTGGCATCTTCCCGGACCAGGGATTGAACCCGTGTCCCCTGCACTGGCAGGCGGACTCAACCACTGCACCCGCAGGGAAGTCGCCCCATCTCCTGTACTGATACAAACTCTTAACAGCCTTATTTATTAGTCAACCATGAATGCACCCTGACCCATTACATAGCAAGCCAAAGGAGCTAAGCCTATGATTAGTCTTTCATCTTTGTGACAAAACTATTATCTCAGTTATGAGAAGATGGCTTAATCAGTGAGCATTTCCTGACAACAAAACTAAAATAGCATTATTTTAGAGCATTATTTAAATAGAGTACTAACTGCTGCTCTTGTTTTTAAAATTCTGAGCAGAGGAGGAATATTTTGTCTCCTTACATGTTTAAACTCTAAAGGGCCCTTTATCAGCTGCTTCCTGATCCCAGGACTGAGAGGATGAGGATGAGGGCAGAAGGAGATGTAGAATCTGGCTAATTACATTATTGGTCCCATTTTAACAAATTTGCTATTTAAATCTCTGCACATTCAATTATTCATAAAACTGACGATTGCCAATAAACATTATTACTATCTAACACATTCAATGCTCAGGAAGAAAATATCACACAGAAAAATATAAGCAGACATTTACAATAAAGACTCACAACTATAGTGGTATTTTAAGTTCTATCAACGAAACAAGATTAAACTGGTATTACATTATTTATTAAGCTCAAAATTAGAGTTAAATTGCTTTTAGATATACAGCATATAAAAATTTAACACAACTACTAAGAAAGAAATGCATTTGTCATGTACTCTTCTATGTGAACAATTGGTAAATGTGACTGACTTTGTTTTTCTAACAAATATACCAGAACTAATAGTTCACACACATTGCTCCCTTCAAGGTATGTTCCCCAGAAAGCAGTACACTTAACCATCAATGATGACTTTTGTAGTCCTTTGATATGGCATATTTGATTTTTACCAACACTGTCAAATATTACTTAAAGATTGATAATGGTCAAAAGTAGGTCCTATTGTTTATGGTCAAACACCGCCCCCCCCCCAAAAAAAGGATTGATAAGGATTTGTAATAGCTAATATATCGAAAACTATCTCAAAGGCAGTTCCAAAGGAAAAATTCAAACCTACTCCAAGAAGCAGTAAACATTATTAAACTAATAAGCATGTCGTGTCTCCCTTCCCCCTAGTATGCCAAGGGCCTAATTTGTAGAACAAAACTGAATTGTATACACATTTGCATCACATGTGTTAAAATACCAGCCTTAACAAACGGTAGTCGTATCTATTAGGACACTTCATTTAAGCCAGCAGGTTTCAAAACCATCCACCCAAACTGAAATGCTTATGGGAGAAAAATAAACTATTTGATATGTAATTAATGTATTTCACTTGAGGATCACCATTTTTCTCTTAATGAAATAAAGAGTATTTTATTGAAACCAGAACACAATCCTAAAGCCAAGCAGAGCCAGCAACTGCCCTACTTTATATTCCTGTGGCAGTCTAATGAAAAACTAACCAGGCTCCCAGTTGTTTGAGGTCTAATAAAACTCTTGGATAAATAATTAACTGAAAAAGAAATAATTAACTGATACACCAATGAACTGTATCTAACTTTTGGGTTCTGAGATTATTTTTCCTGAGTTAAACATTTTTAAGACACCAATTCCTTGCCTCATTAGTGAAGTGATCCCATAATAAATCAGGTGTTTTTCAATCTCCTCTGGTATCTTTCCAAAAGACTAAATCTATTTACAGTAATATTTCAAATCATTTGCTAGAATGTTGATTAAGCCTAAAAGAACATAATCTCTCTCCATACCTAAAAACAAAAAGAACTGAATCTATTACATACATACCTTGCCATAATTCCCATCTAAATACATTTTTCCATCGAAAGTGCTTAAAACATGATTTCATTTCGCTTCAGTTACCTAGCCTATTTCATTTCTTTACCTCCTTTAGCAATGTACAGATGAGTTTCTGGGTGAATATAAAGCCATTATTTAACACTAACTGTCCAAAACAAAAGAGGAATTGTCCAAAACTCTCAGGGGTTATTATCAATGCCATGCATTGAAATGCTAATGGAATGAAATTGTCAAGTGTTTAATACTACCTCCAAATAATATCGTTTAACTTAATTCATAATGTAATAATAGGTAATAGTTCTAGTACCTAGAAAACTTACAAGAATTTCCACTTTACATGAAATGTAAGATAATCAGTGATCAAATCCAACTCTGACTGGACAGCTTAAAAGAAAGATGTAAGAATGGATATCCCAGATAAATTACCTGTCTTGTCATTTGCCAGACACAGTCAATAAACTGAAGAAAAACAGGTGATCTGTCTGCATCTGCATGGTTCTTATCTCCATGGCCAAGTCTCTGAAGCAAAGAATGAAATATTATATGAGCTTTGTGGGATTTTTCAGCTTTTAATGAAAGTAATTTTATTTTCCAAGAAAAGTAATATTTGCTCAATATTTTTAAAAATTCAGAATATCTTTTTAAAAGAGCACTGCAAGGAAAACAGAAATTACCATAATCCCACCAAGCAGAAATCTCTATTAACATTTCAATGTGCAAACTGCCAGGTTATTTCCTAACATGAGACACTTGTAACAGGAATTACAACTCAGTTTAATAAATAAAACTCAGATCCTAAAAGGCTGATAACGGGACACAGGAGCAGCCAGACCTCAGAGCCCAGATTTTTCTTCTAAAGATTTTGCCCTGAATATTAACAGTTCCTTGTACACTAGCTTCAGGAAGCACCCTTCTCCTTTAACACCTTGGCCAGTGCATGATGGGGACCTGTTGCATCTGAGTTCCAGACTGTCTTTCAAAAAGAATCACATTAGCACAAATCTTTGAAAACTTTTAAAAAATGCTTGACATCTCCCCTCAAGCATGCACTCACCTACTTTCTCAATTTTTTTTTCTCCTCTGAAGACTTCTGCCCCCAGTGACTGAGATAAACCTCTACTCTGTACCCAAAAACAGTGATTCTAAAAGTATGGTCCACAGACTTCCGGCAGCAGGGCTGGTCTGTGAGTTCAGGACTATTTTTATAATATTACTAAGACATGTTTTGCCTTTTTCAATGTGTTGACATTTGCACTAATGGTGTTAAAGTGATGAAGAATAAAAACTTTTGGTACCTTAGTAGGAATCAAGAAGCAAGGCATTGAAATCAATCTATACTAGCAGTTATTATATTCTTCCTTGCCAAACACGTGCAGTTAAAGAAGGAAAAAAAAAAAAGCCAATCTCTCTTAAGCCAGTTTCCTTGATGAAGCAGTAAAAGTTATTAACTTTATTAAATCTCCCCATTTGAGTACAAAATTTTTAAGTATCCTATTAACAAAATGGGAAATACACATAATATGCTTCTGCTGCAGACTTAAGTAGGATGGTAGGAAACACGGCTTTTTCATGGAACATCATTTTGACTTGAAAGAACAATATATGAACTATGATTATTAAGACCTGAATATCTTGCAGACATTTTTTTGAAAATATACAAAAGTGAATGCGTCACTTCAAGGAAAACAATGGACAGTATTTGTTACCAATGATGCAATTCAAGTTTCTGAGTGAAAATTAGACTTGGGGGAAATTTTTATCTGCTACAATGAGTTTGATAATACTTTTCTGATAAAATCAGTAGCGGTATTAACAAATGTGACTATATTATATAATGAAATGCATTAATATTGGAAGGGCTGTGTAAATCAGTAAGCCAGTATTTTCCAAATTACCAACACTTGATGTTACAAAATCATGCATGGGTAAGAGATCTATTTATTCAAAGTGCAAGACAGACCAAAGGAATTTAATAGAACAAACAACGAAAAATTCATTGAGTTAGTTTTGGATTCCACATTACAATTAACTGCTAAGAAACTACCATTTGTCGAGTTTTGGCACAGTATCAAAGAAAAATATCCACAATTCCCTGAAAAAAATTAAAATACTCTCTATTTTTCAACCTACATATCTGTGTGTGGTCAGATTTTCCTCATTTCTTCAACCAACAGAACATATTGCAACAGATTGAATGAAGAAGGAGACATGAAATTCAGCTATCTTCTATTAAGCCAGACATTAAAGAAATTTGCAAAAGATGTAGAATAATGCCACTCTTCTCATTAAACTTCTTTATTTGTTTTGGAAAATATAGTTATTTTTCTTTAAAATGTTATTTATGCTAATATATAATAGTACTATGGTTTGAATGTTTGTGTTCCCCCAAAATTCATATGTTGAAATCCTACCTAATGCCCAGTGTGATGGTATTAGGAGCTAACTAGGTCATAAGGGTGGAATCCTCATGAATGGAATTAATGCTCTTATCAAAAGAGACCCCACAAAAAAAAAAGAGACCCCACAGAGGCCCCAGCCCTCTTCCACCATTCAAGAACACAGCGAAATGTTGGCAGTCTGCATCCCGGAAAAAGGCCTTCACCAGAAGGCCATGCTGGCACTCTGAACTTGGACTTCCAGCCATCAAAACTGTGAGAAATATAGCTGCCCAAATGGATTAAGAAAACAGATTTATTTCTTTAAATAATATTTAAATTTTTAAAATTTAATTTCTAATATGGTAAATACTGATAGATATAAACAAAGTTCTTTCGGGTCATCAATAATTGTTAAAAAAGGAAAGAGGTCCAGAAATCAAAAAGTTTGAGAATCATTACCCTGTATTAACCATGTGAGCATACCCTCTTGATCAGATGTCCTTTAACTGTCAAATTCTGCTTTCAGATAACTAAGGGGGAAAAAATGGAGTAGGTAACCAGATTCAATAATTTAGGAATCCACTGCAACTTCAAACAGTCTGAAATATTTATGATTTTGGTTATATTTATATGAACATGTACAGCTTTGGCTGACTAAAACTTCATTTCTTTTTTTTTTGCGGTACGCGGGCCTCCCACCGCTGTGGCCTCTCCCGTTGCGGAGCACAGGCTCCGGACGCACAGGCTCAGCGGCCATGGCTCACGGGCCCAGCTGCTCCGCGGCACGTGGGATCCTCCCGGACCGGGACACGAACCCGTGTCCCCTGAATCGGCAGGCGGACTCTCAACCACTGCGCCACCAGGGAAGCCCCATTCTTTTTTTTTTTTTTTTTAATGGTCTTTTCATGGTAAGTACGTTTTATAGAGAACTGAAAAACATGAGCTATTTGAATAGATACTCCAGATGACCAATTTTATTTAACAGTTCAAGTTCAAAAGAGCAGACTACCTTTAAATGTCCATTTCTTGCAAGTTTTTTCATAAACACTGCTGGTAGCTACTGGATACTAACGGTTAACATTAGAGACAGCATCTGAGCAAACATATTTCAGAAAGTCTTTCAGCTAATCTAGGAAAATGCTGCCAAAAATCACACTCTCAGGGGCTTCAAGGCCTCTGAACAATCTTAACTCTCATCTCCAGATTTTCTAAACCTGCCCCTCCCTCGACTCTACTCCAGCCACACTCAGTCCCACCCAGTGTGAGACACTCACACTCACCATTTGCTCACACTGCTCCTCTTTCCTGGGAAAATATTCCTGCTCCGCACTCTCTAAATTCTATGATTACAACTAACATATACCACGGATGGGCATACATGAGAACCAAGGCCTACAAGGTAACTGTTCCCAAGTTTGCTGATTCCAAATTTAGAGTTTAGCAGAAACACAGGTAAAAACCACTTGAATGTTTATTTAATTAAAAGCTACATGAATCTAAAGTATGTTGTAACAAAAAGCAAATACAAAAGCACAGTATCCTTTAAAAGGGACATAATAACCCCATTCCTCTATTTTAGGAACTACTACAGTTTTGGGTACCACACTTGTAGAAAGCCATGAGCAAAGTCGAGAGGACAAAGGGGAGGGTGAGGGGATTAGGATGAGAAAAGACTGAAGAAAACGGACATTTTGCCAGAACTGAAGATTATGACTGACACAGGAAGACAGCTACTTTCAAATATTTGCAGGGCTATCTTATTTGGATTGGTAGTCATATTTGTTCTTCTTATCTCCAAAGGGGAATGTAAGAAAATGAGAAGTAAATTTTAATTCACTATGAAGAAAAATTTGTAGTAGGTAGACTTTCTTCAGTGAGACTGGACAGCCTCAGGAAGGGACTTGCTGCTTATTTCTGGAGGTGTTAATGAAGAAACCAAACAACCATTTCACGGGGACACCAGAGAAGACATTCCCTGGACTCTGAGGCCTTTCCAACTTTTATATTTGATACGAATGACAACATCAAAATAAATTTTAAGTCATATAGAGGGCACAAAAATTTGTCATTTCCATAAAACTAACTGCAACACTTTCCATACATATGGTCATTAAGGGTAATAGAAAAGCTATTTTATTCCCAACTCTAAATTAAATTATTTTTTCTCTGTTATTTCTTTTAGTCCCAGTCTAAATTGTTTTAGACCCTGATCCTGTGTGAGTAGTGCTACTTTGTAGGCCTACTTTAAATTAAGAATAATAGGCCAGTCTCACGTTTTTTTAAGTCTACAGGAAAAGCTAGAAGCGCCCTGTAGCTCCGTAACAGTCCATGCTGCTCTGAACTATCATTTGAAGGTGGAAGTCACAGAAGGGTATCTCCTATTCCCGACAGAGAGTATGGAAGAGACTGGGCCAGGAGCCTGACCAACAGCTAACCCTGGCTCCAGACTGCAGAGCCACAGCAGGATAACCCAGTGCTTCCAAAACAAGCCCAAAGTTCTCTTGGGAAGTTTACCCATTAGAACAAAGGATCAGATTTAGACGAATATCTAGTGAGCAAAGGCATGATTTTCACATGCCTTACATGACATGCATATGTGATACACTGAGTCACGGTTCTTTACTCACAAGCTGAAATCGATGTCCAAAGCTTAGCCACTCTTTTTCTACAAGGACTTCAAATCCTCGGATGGTTCGGTAGTATCCATCCAACATGAGCATGGCCAGGGAGGTCAGCTGAGCTGTGCGATCCCAGCCATCACTGCAGTGGACTACCACAGACGTCTTTCCTGACTCTACTTTGTCAGCAATCCTAAGAGCCCCTGCGAGAATAAGCTGCAAACAGATTTTTTAAATTAATTTTTTAAAAAATTAAATGCTTCCTTCTTCAAAATTTACTAATAGAATTTTGTTCAGAGATGACTGTCTCAATACCACGTGGAGAAAAAAACATCAGTCCCTTCCCAGAAAGAATTTTTGTGAATGGTAGAAGATACATAAATTTTGCTTTTAAAACTAAAAAAAACTCATAAATGCAGACTCCTATTAATCTACACAATGAAATATCCAAACAAAAGGTGCCTTTGAGTTCTAAACAAATCAAAAATATGAGTAAGAGGAAAGAAGGATTAAGTTCTAAAGAGATCTATTTCTGAGAATCTTCAAATATTCCAACATCATCCATTTAAATAAAAATAATACACCAACTTTAGTTTTACCTGTTATTTAAAACAATGATACTTAACCAAATTAGAATATGAAAGCCATAAAGTTGGATATTTTAAAATATTCTACAGCTTCTATAGCATTTATTCTACTGTTTTTATATACATCATATAGCATACAGCAAGCACAGTATAAAACTTCAGAGTAAGCTGCTTTTTTTGTATTAGTATGAATGGAAAATTCTGATCAGACCAATATATTACCATGTCAATTTAACTGGTATCTAAAATAATTTCAGGTTTTTTTTAAATATGCAGAGACTCTGCAAAATAATTTACCTTTTCTGAAGCTGATCTTGAGTTAAAACTAGACAGAATTAGATGTAACCAAAAAAGAAACACAAAGTATGGTATCCTTTAAAATGAACAATATAGCCACATTTTTCTCTGCAATGGCCAAATCATACTTAAAGAACAGCATGATTACACAAACATAGATAAGAATGAAAGAAAAGATATACTAGGCTTAGAGAATCTCATGATGACCTCCTTTTGATTATAACTGTAGGCATATTCTGGAAGTGGGGTACTCTGAAGCAATCTCAATCTTAACTATGCATCAGAGTCATTTGTGAGCATTAAAAAAAAACAAAAACAAACACCTGGTCCCCATTCTCCACTAATCCTAACTTACTATTTTAAATAACTTATACCTAAAATTCAAATGTATATCCAAACTTACACATCACTGACCCAAAGGATTAAAACAGCTGGAGAGTTAAGACAGACAAGAAAGAGTTATCCAAAGTGGTCATCTTCATTGATTCACTGATTCATTCATTCATTCAAAAGATAAACATTTACGGAGTCCCCTACCATGTGGCAGGCACAGCTCCAGGTGTTGGAAATAGAGCAGCAAACAGAACAAAGTGCTGGCTTAACAAAGTTTACATTCTACTTAGGTGAGGCCAGCCAGGTGCAAATGAGGAAAGAAATACACAGTGTGTAAGTGAAAAAGCACCATCTAGGTCTAGGGAGTGCTGGCAGAACTGCTATTTTATATGGAGTGTTGGGAAAGGCATCTTTGAGAAAGTGATATTTGAGCAGAGATTTAAAGAAAGTAAGTGGGTAAGCCTTGCAGATGTGAGGACTGGGGGAGGAGAAAGTGGTCCAGACACAACTGTACCTCTTAAACTTCTAAGGAAACTTATTTCGGTTATAGCCAGATTTTTTGTGTGTGTGTGTGGTACGCGGGCCTCTCACTGTTGTGGCCTCTCCCGTTGCAGAGCACAGGCTCCAGACGCGCAGGCTCAGCAGCCATGGCTCACGGGCCTAGCCACTCCACGGCGTGTGCGATCTTCCTGGACCGGGGCACGAACCCGTGTCCCCTGCATCGGCAGGTGGACTCCCAACCACTGCGCCACCAGGGAAGCCCTATAGCCAGATTTTTGGAGAGAATGTTGTACCTGCTAAAAATTGACCTGGAACTTACAGAATGCTGCAATTTACGTTAGTTCTGAATCAAGTCTTATGGTTTTCTACTTATACATCATACAATGTAATAGATGGTCCCGTGACCATTTTCTTTAACAAAAGAGTGTGTATACACTTTGCTACATTCAAGCTTCTATGTTTCTAGAAGAGAAACAGTAATCAAAATAGTCTATAATTGTCATTAGGTCAATTTAGCTTTCAATTCTTAGATTTAGAGGTTTTAATGTGAGTACAATCTGCTCCTTCTTAACATGAAAAATCTCATTTCCATTTATTTCATAATATGAATATATGTGGTTATATATATTATAGAAATCTATATTTTGGTAAGGCATCTTACTGAAATTCAGACACTATCTGAAAATATTTGTAACTACATTAACTGAAATAACATTTGGTGCTTCAAACATTAATATATATTGGGCTTCCCTGGTGGCGCAGTGGTTGAGAGTCCGCCTGCCAACACAGGGGACACGGGTTCATGCCCTGGTCCGGGAGGATCCCACATGCTGTGGAGTGGCTAGGCCCGTGAGCCATGGCCGCTGAGCCTGCATGTCCGGAGCCTGTGCTCCGCAACGGGAGAGGCCACAACAGTGAGAGGCCCACGTACCGCAAAAAAAACCCAAAAAACATTATATATATTAACATATTAGGCAAGCTAAGGTTCACACGGTAGTCTCCAAATCATTTAGCATTCAAATGGTATCCTTCATTTAACTATTTCACCTCATGTGCCTGACCAGAATGGTTTTCACAAGCCATGCAACAATTATTTATTGAGTGCTTTATTCATATCATATAGTGCTGCCCTGGCTCCTGAGGGGACAAAGAAGAAATATGATTTAGCCTGTCCTACTCTCCATGAATTAGCAATATATGTTGGGTGACACATAAAAGTAATTAAATCAAGTGCATGGTAACACCTGATTAGCTGGAAAGCAAAAGTAAAGTGAAAAGTTCAGAGAAAATGAAAATGAATGCAATCTGGGAAGACTTCATGGAAGAAATGAAATATGAGCTGGGATCTGAAGAATGGGCAGAATTCAGATAGCATGGGAAAGAGAGGGAACAAAAGAAGTACAACTGAACCAAATGCATAATATAGAAAATTAATTCATTCAGGCACCAAAACTTAAAAGTTGTTCTAATTATCAAAGCAGTTATCAATTTTTCACTGTTTAAAAAGGTACTTTCATCTTGATTCCAATTGTAAGAAAAGAGCCGATATAGACAAAAGGGCAGAGAAAGTCCTTGTTTGATATCCTATGATAGTTTAAAGAAATAATAACATACCCACCTTAATATGCTCTAGCCAGTGAGTAGATTCCAAGTTAGACAACCAGTGGGTCTCCTCAATGTTGGGGTACACAATCTCCTTAAGTTTTCGTAAAGATTCTCTCATAACATGGATATTGTGGATATCTAGAAAAACTAGTTCTGCATTTTGATAGGCATCTTCACTTTCATAACCTCCACCTTTTGCCTGGAAAAAAAAAAGCAAACATCACAGGAAATTATAAATGAATGCACATCCATTGTATGTTGACATCCCCAAGAATGCCACAAAATATCCAACAGAATCAAAGAAGATACACATTACTGATGGATAGGAAAACTCCACGGGAAAATGTGGCTGGCTCAAGGCAACTTAACACAACCACCCTCTATCACATGTTCTTCATAAAACAAGAATATACTCTCACCCTGACTTCCTTTTGTTAAAATTATATGTGATAACATAAATGAAGGTAAAATTTCCCTATCCATATTTCAAGTCCTACTCAAACATAATTTCATAAAGAAGACTGAAGTCACCAGACCACCAAGATCCATGTGCAGGGACTAGTTTACCCCTGGCCCATGCTTCTTCACCTCCCTTCCTCTTCACCCCATTTTAATCTTAATATTTGCAAAGTGCTTTGCAATCATAGTGACTGGCTTCTATTATAACCACACAACTACTATTAAACAAGAAGACTGAACAAGTATAAAAGCACAGAGTACTGTAGTATAATACTATCACTATTTTCAAAGGTGTAAATCTACAAGTACAGAACAGAATGAGAAATATTTGGTGTTCACAATAAGCTATGGCTGGAGAACTAAATTTTTCTGGATTGAATCTTTCTCTATTTTAAGAAAATATTCTCCTACCTTATGTATAAAATATGCATCCTGTCTTATGTATAAAAGCATGCTTCTTAGAGCACTAATGGAAAAAAATTAGGAAGATACAGGAACAGCCACTGTAGTTATACAAAATTAAGAGATTACACCTTTGAAAACAACAAAACTCACCTCTTAACCAACAACAAATTACCAAAGGAAGTTCAAGTTTCCGTTCTGACACTGATAGTCTGCGAAATAGTTTGGAGTTAAGAATGGTACAGGTACAAAATTAACAGTGTTTCATTAGGTACCTGTTAACACGGATTACTTCTGGAGAGTGGGATAGGACAGGCAAGGGGTAAAGGGACGTTCAAATTTGTTGCAACAAATCCTAGAAACATGGCAGTAGTAGCAACTACACAGAACCTGTCACAAAAACACACAGAATGAAAATGCTCTGGAATCAGATAGTTATACAACTTTATGAATATAATAAAAACACTGAAATACATACTTTAAAAGAGTGCATTTTATGGTGTGTGAATTATACTTCAATGTAACTGATATTTTAAAAAATAGAGCAACTAGATAGTAAAACCAAAAACACACAAAAATCATTCAAGACAGAACTGGAGGACAAAGCATTCCATCAAACCCCAAAACCACCAACAGTTACAAGATCTAGATGCTATCGGCGAATGTGTGAAGGAACAAATGGATATAAGATGGACTGGAGAACAAGAGATTCACAAGAGAGTCTTATAATTTGTAGTTTGTTCTGCTTCCTTGTTTTAGCTTTCTTCCTCCAGAACTACAGGGAAGAACAACAGATCAATCTAAGAAGTACCACTGAAACCAGGAAGGGTTCTGTCCAGTGTAACAGCCGAGTTATTAGAGAAACTCAGAAATGAAATGAGGCTTGGGAACAAATTAGAAATAAAAGAAAAAAAATCAGAAATAAAGACTAAATTAGAAGAAACTCATTCTAATTAAATTAAATATTAAATTAAAAGAAATAGACAGTGAAAAGCAAAATATAAAACCAAAACAGGAATAGAAAGCATAAAAAGGATTCAAGAGAAAGTGGCAAATGATGAAGATAGGCAAAGAAGAGCCAGCACAGGAATAACAGGAGTCCAGAAGAAGCAAGCCATACATGGAAATGAAACAAATACTAAGAACTATGATTAAAGAAAAAATTCATGAAATTTTTAAATTGGAAATTACCGATTAAAATAGCATACATGCATACTTGATAATATAGACCCAGAACACAAAACATGAAGACATATTCTGGCAAAATAACTGGACTTCAAAGAAAAAGAAAAAACAAAATCTTTCACAAATCCAAGTAAAAAGAGTGACTTAGAAGGAAAGGAAATTTAGTTTATCATCAGACTTTGAAAATTTATGCCAAAAAAAAGCAACATATTTAAGACATTCAATAAAATCAAATGTAAGCCAAGAATTTTATGCCCAGCAAAACTAACTCGAATATAAAAGACATAAAGCTGCTATCAGCATAAAAATACTCAGAATATAGTTCTTATGAGCCTTGCTGAAATATTTACAAGAGAACAACTCCAGACAAAAGAAAAAGACCAGAAAGACATCCATATAAGAATTGGTTACTGGCACAAAATATTTAGCTACTTGTAGAAGTCAGAGGTAAAAGGCAAAAAGTATGTGTACAAAAGGGAGACTATGTAAAGTCTACACATGCTCTGATGACATAAATATAAGCAATTCATTTTAAAATGGGAGAAAATGGAAAAAAATTTAACTTTTCAGTAAATGTACTGGTGATGATACTATTAATACTGTTATTCTAAGACCATGGTAGGATAAAGCAAATGAGTAATTATGTAGCATACTAATGTTATTATCCCCTCTGTCTTTGAGAATCGGGATTTCTGGTGTGGAAGGAAGGAGATACACATGTAACTTAGAAGAAGTTATGTAAAAACTCTAGCACTGAATTTAAATTGAAAGCACCAGTATGAACTCATGAGGTATAATACTTTATCTTTAAAAACATTTGTTTCCTAGCTCTATCCACTGAAAAGACTTAGAAATTAGACCAACCCAGTAGCAAATAATTATCCTTAGCACCCAGATTATGGTTTGAAATACCATTTCCTACTAACAGAAACCAGAACTTCTTAGAGAAATGGCTATTCTAAGCCTGCGGCAGGAAACTTACAAGATTTCCTGATGAGTCTGGTATACCTTGTCATACCAGATAGCAAAGATTACTATGGTTATGTCAAATGAACTCAGGAGATAACTTGAAAAGTGCCCCTCAGACCAAAGGTGGGAATTTTTTTTTTCAAAAATACCATCTGCAATGAATTAGAAATTGTTGACTACATATAAATACATGCATTCATAATGACACTTAAAAAAATTAGTCACCCTCATGGGATGGTAGGGAGTAAATTCATTATTGGGAAAACTGATAAATAAGGAAAAAGAATCAAGCACTTATCCTGGCTTTCTTATATGAACTGAACTGCTGGTTAACCAAAATTTAGATAAGAGAAAGTGTTTCTTTACAGAAAGAGTTCAACTCAGCTGAAAAGGAAATCATGAAATCAGAATATCACCATTTGGCAACCCCAGTGAATTAACACATCTCGGTACGGAGCATAAACAGCTGCTGATATCCCAAAAAGAAGAATCAGCCACAAATTATGCGCCTCCTGATATATCCCCTATAGCCTTGCCAAAGGAGTTGAACCTGAATCTGAATAAACCTCTGAATTCATGTGAAGGAAATTCAGAGAACAGAAGAAAGTTGAACCATACCATAATACAATTGGCAAAACCTGGACTGTGGAAAACTCTACAATAAAATATATTGGAGTGAATGAGGGAGGGAAGGAGAAAGGAAGGGCAAGGGGAAGACTATAGATGAAGAGAGACTTAAAAGACATATCAAATACAATACTTGAAAAGGCAAGGCTAAGAGTCTAGAGATGTATACACTTCAGTAATAAAAGTATAAAGTAATGTAAGAAGACTACTATAAAAGTTAGGATAGTGGTTACTTTTAGCAGGGGTAGAAGGTAAATTTAATTGCGGTAGGGCACACATGGAAGACTTAGTGGCTAGTACAGTTTTTTGTTTTTTTTTTTTTTTTGCGGTACGCAAGCATGTGGGATCTTCTTGGACCGGGGCACGAACCCGTGACCCCTGCATCGGCAGGTGGACTCTCAATCACTGCGCCACCAGGGAAGCCCGCTAGTACAGTTTTAATTCTTGATACGGCTCATGGTGCAAAAGCAGTTGTCATATTCACACTGACAAAGCTATAAAAAATGTTCTTACTATGAAGGTAAAAAAAATACTTGTTGCAACAAGGATATATACTTTTGCAAATTTTAAAAGAGAGATGGTGGGGATATTGGGTGAAGGTAGTAAAAAAGGGCAAACTTCCAGTTAAAAGATAAGTAAGTAGTGGTGATGTAATGCACAACATGATGACTATAGTCAACAATACTATATTGTATATTTGAAAGTTGCTAAGAGAGTAGACTTTGAAAATTCACAAGGAAAAAAAATGTAACTGCGTGAGGTGATGGTTGTTAACTAAACTTAGGGGGGGTGATCATTTCACAATATATGCATATATCAAATCATTATGTTGTACACCTCAAACTTACGCACTTTTCTGTCAATTATATCTCAATAAAACGGCAGGAAAAAATATATCAAACTGGTAAACTAACCTTCCTGAAGAATGCTGGCAATATGTAACAAAACTTTTAAAAATATGCATACTTTAAACTATGATATAGTAATGGTATATCTACGAAACTATTTTATGGAAATAAAGATGCCAACAAAAGATACTTATTTTAGCTATATTTAAAATACTAAATACTTAAACACCTAATATTAGCAGAATGATTAACTGCACAATGATATAGCTGTATGATGAGTACTATTAAAGTTATTTCAGGGATATTTCATGAAAAGAAATAATTCATATAGAGCGGAAAAACAATGAAAACTAACAATACATAAATGCACAGAACAGTGGGAGAAAATATATCAAAGATTAGTGATTATAAGTGATTTTTATTTCTTTGCTTTGTCTATGCCTTCCTAGATTTTTGTTGTCTATCACATATCAGAAAAATGTCCCAATAGATAAAATATATCAGAGTCTTTTAAAAAAAGAGAGATTTCTGTAGTGAAATATGCAGGGGAATGACTTAAAAAATAAGGCGACACCAAGACAAATATTAATCAAACTATCAAAAACTAAATACAAAGAAAAAATATTAAAAGCAGCAAGGGAAAAATAACATACAAGGGAATCCCCATAAGGTTAACAGCTGACGGCTGATCTTTTGCTGAAACTTTGCA